TTTTATGATTATAATGGTCTTTTTCTATAAAACTTATTAATAAAAAAGTTGTAGACAACTTGCTTATCTATCTTGTGTTAAATTTTTATAGTCATAGGCCTTATGGTTTAAGAATTATGGCTGTTAGAATACTGTTGTCTGAAATGCTTGCTCTCTGGACATATTTGAATGATTGAATTATTTGACCTAGAGAATTGCTTAATCACATTAATATGATTAAAAAAAGTTGTAAAAAATTTCATAAGTTTTCCAGAATGTCCACAAGCATATTATTTTGATGTATATAACTCCAGTTATGGTCAAAACAAGTGGCTGCTGTCTTGTTGTCCAAAAAATGATTTACATAAGTGTTTGTTAGTTATTAGAAAAGAGATATGCACCGACTCAGTAAAATATGATGCAACTTATTATTACTTTAATGGGAAGCTGTTGAAAACACTTGGAAGGATGCATTCATCACATCATATCATATTATACATGTCATCATATATGCATTCGTAATATCTTATTTCATGTTCATACATATAGAATCGTCCGAAGAGATAACTCTCCTAGAGTTCAACGAAGAAGAAGAGGAGAATCAGTAGGAGACGCCTAAGGCCATAGCTCCAAGAGAAGAGGAGCAGACTCTCAAAGATCTCCCTGAGTGACGGATCATCGGCCAACCTCTTTCCTCAAGGGTAAGCCCCGGAGCATTCTAAGCCGTCCATGTTTTACAAAATATTACTTGAGTCCTTTATGTTTGATATATTAGGTTATAAGAGTTGATTGGAAACACTTGATGTATAGAACTAACTTGTCCAGTTACATATACCTTTAACCCTATGTAGGTCCAAGATCGAACATATGCATAGCCATGCTTAGACCGGTAGAAGTCAGGTGATTTCCTGTCACCCGTGAGATATAGGTGGATACCGAAGCACGATTGGCTATATTTGCTATCATGGAAAAGAATCATGAGGTAATGTAAATGGAGGCCGGGCGGAGTCTATGTATAAGTTGACTCATATGATTATGTCTGTGCCGATTAAGGACCGTACCGTTGTTGGCCCTTCTGACAAGATTGAACGCATGCCTATCACTTAGCTGGCCGGATGACTCGTTTCGACCGCGAAGCTAAGTAGCTCAACTCAGGTCGGGCCCCGTTCTGTAAAAGTGCACACTGGATGGTAGTAAGGATGTGTGTGGAGCCAGGCACGAGCCCAAGGGCAGGGTAGTCCTGATCGTCCTGGCAGCTGGTTGTCCCTGATTGTGTGGCGCTGGTCGAACCCACAAAATGTGTACCTGAGTTGTACCAAAGGTGACCTAAGGTGACCGTTGATCTGGTCTGCCTGGGTTTATGTTAGGAATAAATTCCCAGCTGATTGAAAACGATTTGAATCACCGTCTCTCCCGAACAGTGAGAAACTTGGCTAGTACCAACATCGTAGTAATTGTGATATGGAACATGATGGTTCAGATGAACATGGAATTACTACACTGGCTATGTTTATTATTGTGTGTTACTAAATAATATACTACATGTTTGGCATAGGTTAGTTGCTAATCTAGAGATGAATAGCTATAATTAACTTAATGACCGAATTATAATTGTACAACTGAGTTAGTTGCTTTTCATGCAAAATGTTATCAAGCTAGCTCCACTTATAAAGCCTTGCATAATCCTTAGAGTCATTTATTTTTGGTTTATGATGGGTAAGTCTAGCTGAGTACCTTCTCGTACTCAGGGTTTTATTCCCATTGTTGCAGATGGTACAGTTTATCACGGCTATTACAAGAACTGCTTCTGTCCCGCCGTGGATGAGGAGTGAGCCCTGGACAGGCATCTTTTATTAATCCTTCTTATATGCTTTTATGGGAGTGTGATCACGAACTGGCACTATGTATTTGAACTATGATGGCAGATGTTAGTTTCAAACTTTAATTTGCTTCTGCTACTATTTTATTGAACTTGATTTGTAATAACCTTAAGTCGTACTCTGATGAAGGAACTATATTTGTGAACTTTATGTAACGTGTGACATGTATGTTGAATCATGTACGATCTTGGTTGTATGTTGATGGTTAATCGAGACCCGTCGTGGTACTCGATGGACTATCGGATTTATATGGGCTCAAGTATGACAGTGCGACCACTTGTGGGCTGCCATTGTACTTGTGCTCTTATAAATTGGTCGGTTCTGCTACATCCCCAGGAGGGAGAACAGAAACAAACAGAGTTTGATGATCTTAGGTGTGACATCCTTCATGACGATGGTGTCACACAGCTCTAGGAAGTGTTGTAGATGAGCATTGGCATCCTCACTAGGCAGTCCACAGAATGGACTGGCCTGCACCATCATGATTAGGCTAGTCTTCAGTTGAAAGTTCACGTCGCCCATGTTGACAGCGGGCCCAACGGGCACATTGGCAACAGCGGGGATGGAGTACTCGCGGAGTGTCTTGTCAGCCATAGGGTTCGGTACGGATGGTGCTTTGATGACGGGTTCGGTTGCCGGTGGAGTAGCGGAAGGAGGATCATCACGAGGTCAGGCTTTCTTCAGGAAGGACTCCGAATTCTTGGTGAAGTTTGTCGGCAAGTCAAAACCATCTTACACTATCCTGTTTTCATGCACAATAGGAGAAAACAAGCAAAGTTATCCTATTATGAGTAATGGCTACTACACATTCATATCATCATGAACATGTCCTAATAGATTCTTTTAACTAGTGCCTTCCCCAGCAACGGCGCCAGAAATGTTTATTGGCATTTCTAAGCGACATCACCGAATATGGAGTTTTAAGTCCATCCCCGGCAACGGCGCCAGAAATGCTTGTTGGCATTTCTTAGCATCACCACTAGGACTTGTGTTTCCTAGCATGGCACCAGAAACGCCATGACGATATTTCTGAACACATGCAGAAATATTCTACAAGTGCACGGATATATCGTTGTAGCATTTCACCCAGGAGTATTCATGTATCGTTCATTTATATTTTTTCAAAGGAAGGCATGGTGTAAAAGTTTCTAGTATGGACATGGTCGAGATAACATGACTGTATAATAGATCAAAGTTCATAACAGGGGTAAGCCAGGATAAAAATTGGATAGTGCGACACACACACTCGAGCCAATCTCAAGGATAAAGATAAAAGAAAGAATAAAGAATAAAAGAATAAACCTAAATTGGAGCATTCTTATCTTGTATAGCTATGCTAAGATGAGCAGATGATCATACAAATACATGAATTTCTAAAGGTAGAGATCCTAAGTTAAGATAGCTTTGGTCACTATAAACTTACTTCGGGCACCGTCTTATGCTTGGTCTACCAAGCACCTCCAGCCTATAGCTCTACGCCGTATCCGAACGTGGGGGATTATCGAAGGACGGACATGGCTGTCACCACCTATCGCCTACCCCTCAACCAGAGGATACGAGACAAAATGAAGGTAACTTCTAACATAGACACTATGTCTACGCTGTCGGTTACTACTCTAGCGGTGGCTAGGAACTTTCGTCTTTATCAGGAGTCCTCTTACTAGAGCATCCATCATGGGGGTGGACAACGAACCCGTAAGAATATAATGACCAAAACTAATCTTAAAGTAGAACTCACTACCTCAATTTAGGTCTTGGTCTAAATATGTATGTTGTATGAAAGATTAAGCATAAAGTTTCATATGCTTAATGAATAACATAAGAACTTTGCTCTAATTTCATAACATAGCTATATTGATAACATGAGAGCAAAAACATAGAAGAATCCTTAATATTATTCATACCAAGAATTCTCCAAAGTACAAGCTCTCAAATGAAGCTTCTTGCCTTGCTCCAAATAAAACTACTAAGAATAGTAAAAAGGTATAAGTGTGGGAAAGAGACTCTTGTGTGGTGTGGGAATGAGGAGGCCTCCCCCATCTATTTATAGCTGCCCCTATGGTCGGTTTGCGAGAGATATTCATGCATGCCCACATGCAACCGACGTGGGGAGATCACCAGGAGACGCCACGTGGAGGCCCGAGGCGGTTGGCGTAGCCTGAGGGGCCGCACCCTAGGTGCGGCCGTACCTGGTGGTGCCTCCCCACGACCGCCTTCCGCATGGTGGTTCGTTGATGGGCCTGGGTCACGTCTACATCGGTGCTTGGCCCAGATTCACAAGGTAGGTGGGATTCTCTGCTTGTTTCTCTTCTATGCTTTGTCGAAAAGCGTATTTTTGTCACCTTTTCCACCGTATTCGTGTATATGTCCTGTAAAATAATAATCTTCCAATACAAGTGGAAACTAAGTCAAAGTGATAACATATATGTGTAATTCATGCTTAGTTTCCTCCTCTTTTGAATCTTAGTTGGTGGTAAAATATTGTCGCTAAGGACCGCCAACAGGTAGTTATGCTAGTACCTACCTCTTATGTAACCAAATAAACAAGTCCTCGGTCTATCTGAGACATGAGCACCAAGCAAGTCCAATTATGTCCCTAGAGGCTGGCTAGGGACATCCTAGTCCAACTCATTTGCATAAACTAAACATGTCTAGGCAATCAAAGAGGCCCTAGACTTCTATATAGATAGTAGCTTTTAAAGGATTTTGGCGAGGAAAAAGTTTGCTTAGCTCCCTCAACTATTGGTGGTTGTTTACTTCACCCGCTCACCTATAAAACCAGGCATCTACCCCTTAAACTATTAAAAACCGTCTAAATAACCCTAAGGTGGTTTTGAAGGTGATTTTGCTTATGTGGCATATTTAAAAGTCTATATAACCCCTAACATATCAAGGGCTGACTACATGACCCCCTCAACTACAAAATATGATATTGTAGCCCTTAAATCATCTAATGATGTTCAAATTATGGTCATGTAGGGTGGAGGCCACTGGATGAGGTGGGATGGGCACGGTAGGCAGCCGCAATGGTCTGGTGTGGGGCAACGGCTGGCGAGAGAACGGGGAAGCGAGGGTGGGATTAGGTTTTAGGGCTCCTTTATATACGCCAGCAGATATCATGTCATGGGCTAGATAACCACCATGTCAGAATATGCATTACTTGTGATGGTGTACTGTTAGTGGCATTCTATAAATCCGTCATAGATTACAAGGTTTATTGTAGTGTGTGTTTAGGCTAGCACGGCGGGATACGGTGTCCAAACGACCCTAACTGTCTATTTGGCAAGTTCAGAGAAAGGGCATGGGAATTGGAGGAGGGAGTTAGTAGAGGGAATTGATGTGGGAGTTTGATTTGTACACTCAATCCTCTATTTGGCATGTGCTAAAAAATAAAAGAGTTCAAGAGGGAGTTTCTTCTGCCTTTGTTTGGTTGGTGGTTTTGGGAATGGAAAATCATAACTTAACTTATCATCAACAGTGGAGATACGCTTGTCTTGTGTTGATAAGAAATTCCCACTCAATTTACACCCTCTCCCTGGGTTTAAAAGGTGAGAGTTGAGGTCCTCGAATTCCTCTTCTTCTTCCCACATGAACTCCCATGCCCACCAACCAATCAAAAGAATTTTAATCACACATCTCTTAACTCACATTCCCTTTCTAACAATTCCCTCAATCAAACTAGCTGTAAAGACCATCCAACGAGTCATTTGAATATCATTTGATGCTCTACAGGCTATAATATCATGTTTTATAGTTGAGGGGTGATGCAGTCAACCATTGATATGTTAGTGGGTTATATACTTTTTAATATGTCATGTCAGCAAAAAAAACCACCTTCAAAATCGTCTGAGAGAATTATTTAGACGGTTTTCAATAGTTTAAGAGGTAGAATACCTAATTTTATAAGAGCATCTCCAAGAGTTCCCTATACATCCTCTTAATCCTTGTTTTTTAGAAAGATGGAGAAAAACCCCTCTCCAACCATGTCCGACCACCCACCGGGTCCCGTCTCATGTTCTTCTTGTGTGTGTGTGTGTTTGTTTTGCAGCTGCACAAGGAGTCCCCGCTCGGGTTCAAGGAGCTGGAGTGGTTCGCCGACATCGACCTCTTCCACGAGCAGGCGCCCAAGGCCGGCAGGACGTTGGCGGAGGTCCCGGAGCTTTTCGGATCCCAGGCGGCGAACGATGCCGCGTACTACAGGACAGCCAAAGCCGCCGGCGCGCCGGGTGCGCCTTGAGCAAGAAGGCCGGATCGAGGTCACCGACGACGAGGACTACCTCATCGTCCGGTTAAATAAGGGCAGAAAGCGCAGGAGTTTTGTTTCTTCTCCTGCTGTGTACCAGAAGAATTTTACTGTGTACAAGCTAGCGTCTTGTGTTGTGCATCTTTGACTGTAGTATCTCTCAATTGTGAACATGATAATTCTACTAAGCCACTTTGTTGCTATGCTAGTACCAGTCCGAGAGACACTTTGATGTTTTTAACATAACATTTGCCTCAAATAGCTGACGCTTTCACTTGGGGTAAAGAGAGAACAAGTGACAAGTATAACAAATAGTCCTGCTTGCTTGCGTGCCACCGAGGCGACGACGAGCGTCTGCTTGCTTGCGTGCAGGCTGCTGGTTGCCTGCTTGCCCTAGTTGCTACCCGCCTGCTCGCTTGCATGGTACTGTATTCTGTTTGCTTGTCTGGTGGCCGGCCGTTGTTGCCTGCTTGCCTGGTTGTCGACTGCTGGGCTGGGGCAACATGACGGATGCAGGCGGCGGCGGCGTGGATACGCGCGGCGACGAAGAGGTTCGCGTGGAAAAAAAGAAGACTGTAGAAAAAAAAACATCAAATGAGACCAGCATTTGATTTTTTAGAAGTCAAATATTATGAACTATCGGAGATGAGCTTCTTTTTTTCTCCTAAAACCTTTTTAAGAGTTGGCAAACATAAATTTTTTAGAAAAAATATTTAGGAAACTCTTGGAGATACTTGGAGATACTCTAAGTAAGAGGGTGAAATAGACAACCACCAATAATAAACAATTGAAAATATTAAAAGTTAAAAAACAATTGAACGTTCTGCGTATCGCCGTCGACGCTCAGTTCAGTCTATCTCATCCTACCGTTAGCGCTCGGACGATTTCGTCCGAGCGCTAAACACGTCTTTTAAAAACCTACGCCGTCTGCTTCCGTCAATTCTTCCCCTCCAACGCCCACGGCGGTTCTTCCTCTCCGAGTCACCCCTCGCCGGACTTCTTCCGAGTTTCGGAAACTCGGGCGGCATCGACCATGAATCCAGTACACTGCCATGCCGCACGAGAGAAGGCACGTTCAAAGGTCACATGATCCACACACACCGTTTCAGCAGCGTTGTTGCACAACGGCACAGCTATCACCATCCAGGAACATCCCCGGAATTCACCCCTGCCTTTTGTTCTCCCGTTCACCCCGCGTGCGCGCACTCTGTCGTGCGACAACTGGGCAACCGCCGCCGCCGTCAGGTGGCCAGTTCTTCGTCGCAAGCGTCGGTCCCTCCACCTGGCAGTCCGACCTTCGGCGGGCAGTGTCGCAGCGGTTGCTTGCCTGATGCCTTGGCCGATGTCGCTCCTCGCCCTGTCGCCGCTGCGGTGAATGCTCGGCACAGCACTCGGCAGCCGGTGGTAAGGAAGAAGGAGGTTTGGGGTCTAGTGCGACCACGCCGGTAGCAGTGGCGGCCGCCCCACCACGCCCTTAGGGTGGCTCCGCCCATGTTCGTCGGTACCTTCGCCGGTAACGAGCACCCACCAGGTATGCGCATCCCTTTTCTTCCCTTCCTTCTGTGAGAAACCGAGTTCCCAATCCCTAACTTAAGCTATTTGGTAATTGTCTTCGGATCTGATCTAATTACAAGTTTATACATGCCTACTGATGCCTGCCTCCGGATTGAGAGCAGTATAAATATCGAGTTTTCAGTTTTTCACCAAGCAATGGGGATTTTTATTTTTCCCATTTTTTAGAAGGAAACATGGTTGTTGCACTTAAAACTCTGCGTTTTTTTTTTTGCTAGAACAAGCATATGAAGGAATCTTCTAGCCTTTTCTTGCGTGGGATTTTGTGCCCCTTGTCCTTTTGTCCCTTAGGCAACCAGTTGGAATAATTTGCTCATCTCTCTTTCGTCTTTGTTTTTCTGTTCAGTAACATGAATCCGGCTTGACCGCTTGAGTACAAGTTTGATTATCAGATGCAAACAGTTTACAAACTTTGTATCAATTGCTTTTGGTGTGATTTTCGCCAGGGGTTTTGGGGATGTTTTAGCACCATTCTGTATGTTATGTTATTTATCCATATCCTGATGCTGTTCTTTATGCAGGCTCTGGAAGAAGCAAGGATTCACCCTCAGGCGCAAACTGAACGCAACTCCTGAAGACCCGGTGAATTTGACGCGGCCATGTCTGCGGGGAGAGGCGATCCAAACACCCCTGGCAACAGGCCTCTGTTCCTGAGTGCTGGGGTGCCCAACTTAGGCTGTCACAATCTTGCGGCTCCAGCTGCAGCAGGCAACACCGGCTCGATCGCCTCTCAAGTCTTATTCTCCCCATGCTCCACGTCTGTCCTGAATGCCATTCAAGAGGTTTCTGCTCCACAATCTGCTCATTTGAGTCCGATAAGCCGTGCAACTGAACAAGACGACGTCCCCTGCATCCGGCCATCCTGGAATATGCCTGGGGGTTGCACGCAGGTGCCTATTAATATCATAGTGTTACATAGGCAGCTCACTGGAAGGGGTTCGAGGGCGCAGTTGCCACCGTCGGCCACCACTGCCTTGCCTGATGTTTCAGAGGGTAAGCATGTCCTCATCTTGTTATTCTTTCTAGGTGTCATGTTAATTCAGTTTTCTGTGGCTGTATTGTCACACATTATAAATGCACTGAACGCTCTTTGTTTGCTGTTGCTCTATATATTCCGAAGGAGCTTCCATTCGGCTTGCTGGGAGTAATTTCTTGTCACTTGCAAGGACATCAAATGTCGTTGCGGGTGATATGACAACGAATTCTTCACAGCTAGCCACTCCAGATAAATACAATTCAGAGCATCTTCGGCCGAATTGTTTATATGATGAAGCATCCAAGACTGAAAATGGAATAGAAACTAGCCAGTTTCCACAATTAGCAACAACAATTTTCCGCGACAGCTACAATGATTTGGAATCAGTGATTCCTGCAGCTACCTGGGAAACACGAGTTCAACATTCTCAAGAATCAACCACCCTTCTTGCAGAAAGTACCACTGATGACAACATTCATATGTACCAATCTATGCAAAAAAGGCTCAAGACACAAATCAATCAAAGTGAACACACACCATTGTCAACACCAACTGTACCCAAGGAGAAAACACTAACTCAAATTGAGATGCAGATAGCAAGTGCTGAGGAAACTGAAATGTTCAGGAATGAGGAAACCCCGGCACTGAAAATGAAGTCTCGGAAGAAAAAACATAGACCAAAGGTAATCAGAGAGAATAAGCTAGCCAAAGTTCAAAAACCTGATTCAACACCAGATGGAACATCTCCGAATCAAAAAGTCAAGAGAAGTTATGTCCGGAAGAAAAGAAACTTCAGCTCTCTGGAGAAGTGCTCTGGTCCTGTTAGTGATCAATCAATCTCTAGAGCAACAGGAGTTGCAGCTAGAAGCAGAACAGCATCAGTTCGACGAAGTCTGCAATTTGAATCCAAAGAACAAGGATTGCAGGGAGGCCATTCGTCAATGACCAACTCACACCATCACAACTATGAGAAACCTGGCCATGCTCAAAGTTCTTTCTACTCAGAATCAGAAGTGCAGACTGGACATGCGCTGCAAGTAGGTATGGAGAATTCACCAGGAGAATTAGCTTTCGACATGAGTCTCAGACTGAACAAATTTTTAGATGAGTACATGCATTTGCCAGAGATGCCAAAACCTACACAAGAAGATTCAACTGCAACTTCTGGGTCTTTTAATACTAAACTAGCAAGGGAAGAAGATAATCTGGGAAGAACTTGCAAACCTGATGGCAAAAGTAAGTGTAGTTTGTTTACTGAGGAAAGGGTGGTAAAACCCATAATAGAGGGGAACAAAAAAGACTTGGAATTAAACTATTCGGATGAAGATGGTCTTATTTCCTCAGCTAGGTCTTTACCTGAAATGGAACCCACAGGAAGTCAGATGGGTAAGGTGTCGGAAGTGGAGAACCCCACACACCATAGAAATGGTTCCCTACCTGGCACACGGGACTCTGTTGTCTTGAGGACTGCAGCTGAGATGCTAGCAGTTTTCCATGCTGGTGCAATAAAGAAGAAGCGATCTGCCCGGCTCCGCAGAAATTCCTTCTTTTCTATTATGGATCTTGAGAATAATACTCCACAAGCATCAACAACACTGCCACAGCCATGCATGGATGCTCTGTATAAAAGTTCTTGCATTAAGTTTATGACCAAAAAACGTTCAGAAAAGGCACGACCACACTGTTCCAGTTCCATTCAACCAAATGATGAGCTGAAGAACAGGCTTTCAGCTGGAAGCATTTTTTATGGTGCATCTAATGGATCCAAAATATCAGAAGAGAGTTCTCCAAACTTTTCACCTCAGACCCTGGACAATGAAAGAATCAACTTTGATACTCATTGTGAAATAGCAGAAGGGAGGTCAGCAAATACATCAACAGGACCCTATATGGATTACCTTCAAGGAGTTGCATCAAAGTTGAAGCATCTTGATTTGAATACTGAACAGGTGCACAGAACTGAGATGCATTTCTCTCTGACCGCACCTGCTGTTATTTCTTTTGAGGGAACATATGGTCCTTCAAATGCTCTTGTCCCATACGGTGGTGCGGTGATGGTTCCATATGAAAGGCCCTTGCAGTTAGTAAAAAAGCAGCGGCCTCGAGCTAAGGTTGACTTGGATTTTGAGACGACGAGGGTTTGGAACCTTTTGATGGGGAAATCAGCTGAGCCTGATGGGACTGATGTTGAGAAGGAGAGATGGTGGCAGCAAGAAAGAGAAGTATTTCAAGGCCGTGCTAATTCGTTTATAGCACGCATGCGACTCGTTCAAGGTACTGCTGTAAATAAGTCGAATGTCTTTAGTATATGCTAAAATAAGTTTCCCTTTCTGCTATTAACACCTGTCTCAGACATGCCAGCTAAAGAGTATCTGTTTACATAGTCCTTGAAATAGGAACTGAGCCTATAGCTCAGTGGGTTGGAGGAGTGGGTGTGGTTTGAGTCCTCTTTGATTTCAAATTTGGGTGCCTATTTATTCTTAATACAATGCAGCCTTGTTCCTGCTAGGCTGGTCCAGTTTGCATAGTCTTTGAAATGTTCCGCTTTTCTTATTATTGAACAATCTAATTTTAAAAATATCCTGCATGTGATTTGCTTTCAAGTTTATCTTTAGCAATATATTGCCACTTGAAGTGTTAGTTATGTGGAAGTGAAATCATATGATTGCAACAGTGTAGACTTGGTTCTTGTTCTCGGTTTGAGGTTTGACCATATAGTTATACAGGAAAGAAGTGCGAGAACATGACGTCTACGAGTGACAATTTGGAATTTACTTGAATCCATGGCTGAAGCTTGTGGCTAATTTCTCAACCACTTGTTTATCAGGGGACAGGCGCTTTTCTCCTTGGAAAGGATCTGTAGTCGACTCTGTAGTAGGAGTGTTCCTCACTCAGAATGTAGCTGATCATCTTTCAAGGTATGACATTCACAACAGGTGTCTTCAACAATATATCTTATGCACGAGCTCTCTTTATGACTACTATTTTGAAAATAACAGCTCTGCCTATATGGCTCTTGCCGCAAGTTTTCCTTCACGGTCAGTCAACAACAATTGTAAGGATGATGCTACCACAGAAGACAATGAACAAACTACCAGCACGAGTGCACTAGTAGGAGAGAAAAGTGTATTTGACCTTTTCTACAATGGTGCTAGACCTGATCTAGAAGTGGGCTGTGAGGAGGTATCAATGACCTACAAGAAGACACACATGGAACCAAAGGACAATACTAGGGATAGTGAATTGATTGAAGGTGAAACCTATTCCTTTGATTACAAATCAAAAGATGGAAGTGTTTGCAATCACCAAGGGACAGGTATAGAACATAAAGAACAACTACCAGATTTCTCCTCAGTTGAATTAACTGCGTCTACAGAACTCGTGCAGCAGATACAAATCCAGAAGATCTCATCCTCCCAGATTTTAACTTCAGAAACTATTCAATCAAGATTATCTTTGAGTTCTGAGATACCTAGAAATTTTGTTTGTGGTGGTTCTGCTGCAGCTTATAAGCAACTGGGAAGCAATTTCGATCAGGGAAGGTCATTAACAGGAAATGATGCCACAGCCAGTGAAATTGAATGCCACAGACTCCAAATGGATGCAATGAATGATTATGGATTTGGTAAACCTGAGATTCCTTCTAGTTCTGCAATGCCATTTTTCTTGACTGTTGATCCTCAACAACTGAAATTGAGAAATGAGACAAATGTTTCTTCAACATCTTTCAACAGTCCTTCAGATTCTGCGTCACCAAACTTGAAAAATGGCACGAGTCCTCTTTTCATGCCATTTAATTCCTACATGGCACTCATGGCAGAGTGTAGCGGCAATAAGATCGCTTACACCACTCTGAACACTCCAAAAACAAGCACAGAACTTCCAGGTCAGTATGCATCTCTTTCTTCCATTATTACTTAAATGAAATTTGTCTGACAACAAAAACTTAACCATGCAGTCAAGTTACACCATGAGAAAAGGAGTAGTTTTGAAGCACCAGACTTGAAGGAGCATGAATCAGTCTTTCCAACACATGAAATGACAGTAGAAGCAACAAGAAAAGAAGATGAATATATATCGAAATCTGGTTTTACTTCCTACAGTGGAGTACCAGATACAGCTACACAAGCACCAAAGCCAAAGAAAACAAGAACCGCAACTAAAAAGAAAGCAGAGAACTTTGACTGGGATAAATTACGAAGGCAGGCTTATAGTGAAGGGCAGATGAAAAAAAGAAGTTTTGAAAGAAGAGACTCTGTAGATTGGGAAGCAGTAAGGTGTGCAGATGTACAAAGAATATCTCATGCCATTCGGGAAAGGGGGATGAATAATATTTTAGCAGAGCGAATCCAGGTAATAGTTCAATAGTTACTAGGATTAACTGTGATTTATATGAGCCACATTGAAAGAAGATACTCTGTAGGTTTGGAGCAAATCCAGAATAATGTTTTATCTGGTTGACATTTAACCTCTCTCTCTCTCTCTCTCTCTCTCTCTATCTATCTCTCTCTCTCTTCATAAGGTTCTATCACTAGATGACTTTACCATAAGGATATCTTCTACTGCAGCATAATAAGTTTTATAATTTTCTAAACAGTAAATCTGGAGGTGTTACAGAATTTCCTGCCTTTTTCTCTCTCTCACTTTTCATAAGGTTCTATCATTAGATGACTTTACCATAAGAATATCTTCTCCTGCAGCATAAGAAGTTTTATAATTTTCCTAACAGTAAATCTGGTGGTGTAACAGAATTTTCTGAATCGTTTGGTTAGAGATCATGGGAGCATTGACCTTGAGTGGCTAAGATATATTCCCCCAGACTCAGCGAAGTAAGATCCTATGTTTACATCGACTTACCTCTCAGTGATGACATTTCTTGTGCTGTATTTTTTTTGTTCGTTTTCTTTTTAGTTGCGATGAACACAAGACCAGAATCATTAATGTCTGTGAGCAAATTAAGTAGAGCAAGAGGTGCGACATTTTCATGTCAGCATTGAAAATCAGCATATAAAATTCATCAATGTGCACTAACATTGAAGTTCTGTGAAATTCTAACTTTATAACTAGTATACAAAAGGTTAGAAGTTTTAGTTGAAACTAAAACAGCAAAGGATTCTCTATGAAACTACATGCATTTACGAGCCTTATGTACTTACCAAGTGACAAGTGTTTTTATTAAAGTATATTTGGTTTGATGTCAGGGATTACCTACTAAGTATACGTGGACTGGGGCTTAAAAGTGTTGAATGTGTCCGTCTTCTCACACTGCATCATCTTGCTTTCCCTGTAAGTTTATTTCTGTTGTCCTCTGATAGATGTGCGGAAATCAGCAACCCACATACTTGAACCATAAACTAGGCTTTTATTAATACCTTTTTAGATTAATATTACTATTATTAATGCATTTCTATATTTTATATAAGTTGTTTTCCTTTTTGGTGGAGGTTTCATCTCTAGCCTTCGCCAACTTGTTTGTGGAGTATTTAATTTGCCTCTAGTAAATTTAATATTTACATAGCAGTGCTTTTTCCACTCAGGTTGACACCAATGTTGGTCGTATATGTGTAAGACTGGGATGGGTACCCATTCAACCTCTTCCTGAATCTCTACAGTTACATCTTTTGGAGCTGTAAGTGTTCTTCACTGTCCATACCGTTTAGGTCATTTATGGATTTTTGCCATTTCGGTTTAATCTGACTCTACCACTTTCTTTTTTGCTTTCTCACAGATATCCTATCTTGGAAACTATACAAAAGTATCTTTGGCCTCGCCTTTGTAAACTCGATCAACAGACACTGTGAGTTAAAAAAAAAAAACATTTGCTTCAAAGTGTGAATAATATTTGGTTTTGCGAATCGATGTGAATTACATTTGCATATCATGCATAAATAAGTTCCACAAGTAATAATTACCAATATTATCACATTTTCACAGGTATGAGCTACATTATCAGATGATTACATTTGGAAAGGTACTTAATGAGCATCTGTCTTTTGAAACTAGCTGAATAGGTTGTGCATTTGTACAACCAAATATGACTTTATAGTTGTATTTATTATATAACTATAATGCCTCTAATTTAAAATAAAATTGTGCTTACTATAAGACTATAGTTCCTACGATTAATATATACTTATATTTGTTATAGAACTTTAAGGTCTTAATCTACAAGAGTTGTAGATTATTTCTATTTTGTTCTTTTTGTCCCAGCTCAGACTTGAATGTTGAATACCAAAATAAGAGGTTCCTTGAGTCCCACTTGTTGCTTTTTTATGTTTTCCGATCAACCGTGCAGGTCTTTTGTACCAAAAGCAAGCCAAATTGCAATGCATGCCCAATGAGGAGTGAGTGCAAGCATTTTGCAAGTGCTTTTGCAAGGTACTGTTACACTTTCTGTACACCTTCAACCATACTGCCACAGCAGCTTATACTCATAGAAAAGAGCTTTGTGGGGGGCAATTGCTGAACTTAAAGACCCACCAACTGGCCTGCATAGTTAACTTTCACAGTGTGCACACAAAAACCTTGTGATGGGTGCCCCACTTCCATTTGCTGAGAGATACTGGAATTACCTCCACTAAAACAATATGACAATATATCCTACTGGCTCAGGGTGAAAAGAGCACTGTGCCCTCACCCCTCAGGGTCAATTTGATTTCATGTGACACTTGGAGTTGTGAATCTATAGGTCCTTATGCACAGACTACACAATTGGATCAATTTTGTATGCATCTCAAGCATATTAGCTACTTCAGTTGATCTTGCTCAGGAGTTTTACTTCTGTTTACCTGAATATTGACTATTTCTTGTTTTCTTTTATTGCATTTGGAATGAAGTGCAAGGCTTGCACTTCCTGCTCCTGAGGAGAAAAGCTTAGTGAAGTCGAGCAATCAATTTGCTTTCCAGAATAGCAGCATGCACACTATGAATTCGACTCACCTGCCTCGCCTTGAGGGGAGTATCCATTCAAGGGAGTTTCTTCCTAAGAACTCAGAGCCAATAATCGAGGAGCCTGCAAGTCCAAGAGAGGATGGACCTCCAGAAACCATGGAAAATGATATTGAAGATTTTTATGAAGATGGTGAAATCCCCACAATAAAGCTTAACATGGAAGTGTTTGCACAGAACTTGGAGAATTGCATTAAAGAAAGCAATAACGAACTCCAGTCTGATGATATTGCAAAAGCATTGGTTGCTATTAGCACTGAAGCAGCTTCAATTCCTGTACCGAAACTAAAGAATGTGCATAGGCTTCGAACAGAACACTATGTGTAAGTGGTGAATTAGTTTTGTTTGGGCAAATATCAGGTGAAAACGCGTGAAAAATCAGAGTTAAAGTATTCCAGGAAAATCTCTAAAATATAGCACCTTTTTTACGAAGAACTGTGGGGGAGACTATCACATTTGCGATAGAAGTTCAATTTTGAAACTCTTAGACATTGTTTACACATGATTTATCATATGTAGTGAAAAGGCAAAGACTAAATATTTGTGTCTTCTGCACCTCTCAAATGCGATCAAGTAAACTTGACATTTTCTAAAGGATATAGAGCATTCCTTTCACTGCATCTGATAATTTTCTAAGCTTTCACCCTTAGTTTTTACCAATATGGCCTTTTCACTAGTTATAGTGCTCTTTTGCTCAGCTTTAACATGCACGGCTTTAGACTTAGTATTGTTATTGTCCGTAGTAAATAATGCCATGCATCTGGAAGATTTATTCTTTACCTGCAATTTATGTGCTTGCAGGTATGAGCTTCCAGATGCACATCCACTTTTACAACAGGTGAGATGCTGCGGTTTATTTTTTAAGCATTTCAAACTATAGTTCCTGATCCAGCAATTGATTAACAGCTAGGACTTGACCAACGGGAACCTGATGATCCTACCCCGTACTTATTGGCCATATGGACACCAGGCAAGCTTATTTCTCTTTGAGTGCATGGGGTACACACTTAAGTTCATTTTCACTAATTTATGAATACTTTGCAGAAGGAATAAAGGAGATAACCAAGACACCAAAACCATGCTGTGACCCTCAAATGGGAGGCGATTTATGCAATAATGAAATGTGCCACAATTGTACTGCAGAGAAAGAAAACCAATCTAGATATGTTAGAGGCACAATTCTGGTAACGGAATCCTATAACCTAGCAATAACTGATCTGAATATGGTTTAGCTGAAGTAACTGTTTATTTTTTTCCTATAGTTGCTCTGTAGCACAACAAAGATCATGGGAGTCGTGAAATAAAATTGATATTGTGCACATGTGGCCCCAAGCTCATCCTTTAATTGTACCTAGCAAATTGTCCCTTTTTGTTGTATATATACCTGCAGTTTGGTTTAGACCTCAGAGTATGATCTATTAATTCATAGTATTCACTTCCAAGAAGAAGAGCAACATATATTTTGACCTGTTGAGCTAAACATGCATTTTTTGGCTAGACAATATGGACAGATCATAGTATAGATAATGCCTATTGGTTACAGAAATTCCATGCATGTTTCAGCTAATGATAAATTACTGGAACATGAATAGGTTCCTTGTCGAACAGCTATGAGGGGTAGTTTCCCACTTAATGGCACTTACTTTCAAGTCAATGAGGTAAACAGAGTGACATCTAATGTCTTACTCCTAGTACTGCTCCTAAGCCTCCTGTCTCAATGGACACACTTTTTGTGACACTGTATCTGTCCATACAGGTATTTGCTGACCACAGATCTAGCCACAACCCAATCCATGTGGAAAGGCAGCAGCTATGGAACTTGCAAAGGCGCATGGTCTTCTTCGGGACTTCAGTGCCCACCATATTCAAAGGTTGTCTCCCTTGCATAAACAATTCATTGAAATTATATTTGTATTATATTTGTATTGGTACCAACTACAGTTGTTTTGGTTATGTAGGTCTAACAACAGAAGAAATACAACAATGCTTCTGGAGGGGTATGAAAAAATAATTTCCTTAGTTCTGTCATGACATTCTATTCCAAGGAAGCATCTTACCAATTGTCATCAGACAGTTCTGCAGAATGCAGAACCTGTGATAGACCAGTATTCTGGACCATAGTATATTCAATCTCAGTTTACAGTGTTTCACTAGATATACAAGATTCTCATGATTGTCACATGGTGACTATTCAGTGATGAAGAAATCGTTCATAGTCGCTACATGATTGATCTGTAGTCATCTAAGTTTTTAAGATAACCTGAGAATAGTAGAGGCATCTTGTAATAGTGGAATGATAATGCTAGAGAACAAAAACTGCCAATATGAATGCACAGACAAAGGAATTGATGTGCATGCTTATTCATAAACTTACATTTCATACACACAAAGGTCATGAACGGAAACAGTTTCTAGGCTTCAACTCCACAATGAATTTCTGAACAAAACAAGTGTGGCTGTCTTACGCAGGATTTGTCTGTGTGCGAGGATTCGACATGGAGACTAGGGCACCAAGGCCTCTGTGCCCTCATTTGCATGTTGTAGCAAGGCCGAAAGCCCGCAAGACAGCAGCAACTGAACAAGTACTCTAATCAACAAAGATATCAGTTTTATGAACATCGTGTTTATTGTGATATGATATCAATAGCTCTCGACCTGTGCATGGAATCATATTAGTTCCTGCCGGACGATAGCCATTTTTTAGGAAACATAAACCATGGATGGAGTGCGAGACTGTTAATTCTGAGACGCGAAGACTAATGAAGCGTAAGGAAGAACCAATAGTTTTCACTTTTCTGTTTCAGAGTTACTATATGTAAATTATCATCTAGCTATTAATCCGTGTAATGTGTCATTGCAATCCTTTCTGAGACAAACTACCTTATCAACATTTCATTTGGTTAACATTTGTTCTGAGTGCTGGACAGCCTGCCCAAACTTTGTTTACATACCTGTATATTCCTGTTATCTGTACAATGGTTTAGTGGTAGAGTCTTACCGTCCGTGACTGCAAGGTCCCGGGTTCGAGTCGCGGTCTCCTCGCATTGCACAGACGAGGGTAAGGCTTGCCACTAACACCCTTTCCCAGACCCCGCACAGAGCGGGAGCTCTCTGCACTGGGTACACCCTTTGTACAATGGTTTAGTACTTTAGTGACTTTTGGTGCAATCATTTTGAAGATCACCCAGAGTGTTGGGAGGGTTATGATGGTAATGATGATGATACCAAACATGCCTAATTTAGTAGTGTTATAATGAGCAGGAAAACAAAGATAGCTTATGAAGCAAGAGAGCCTTTGCCATCACGGAAAACTCACGTTTGCCACCTAAAATATAGGGATATATGACAAAGAAAAAGAACAGATCAGAACCCTTAAATACCATGAAAAGAGCAATACCTGACATGATGGATGCGTACAACCAAAGAAAAAAGGATTCAGGAGATTGCAGACTTCTGTCTTTGCATGTTTCTTGCATATTTCTCTCTGCACATGCTTGTTCATAGGATGTTTCCGTTGAAAAATTAGCTTTATTGCCATCCTAGTACCTTATCATAACTTACATCGGACAGACGGAATAATATTTCAAACACCAATCCTGCTTACAAACAGAACTTGTTCTTAGTTTACCACACTACATGGTTCACTACCAAACCTAAGGCAAAATCGATGCAACAAATGGCATCTAACACCAACACAGATGTGAGATTCGAAGCATGAACAGGTACAATTGAACTTTTTTATAGTTTTTTTCAAAGCATGAACAGATACATTTGAACTTTCTGAGAGTTCCCCTAACCATGACCATACTGGAAGTGTGTAGTTGTGTCTCCAGAAGGCATCACCCTAATAGTTGCCAGGCCGTGGAACTTCTCGGAGGAAGGAACCATCCCCTATTCTGAAATCTGACACAGGGACGCTACGCCCACCAGCAGCAGTGGGCATGGATAGCAACATGGAACTTGGAGGGTCATAGTATGGATCCAGTGACAACCCAGAACCATAGTGAGAAAATGACAGAGCTGGCATAATATGATCAGCATGGTAGCTTGACCATACGTAGGGTGGACTCACCGAGGTCAAACTGAACCTTGAACCATATCCATCCCTTGAGGCCATCTCATTTCTGGGAAACGAATCTGTTGGCAAACGAAACAAACCAGCAGGACCTATTGGTACTTTCACATCATCATGTGGTAAGACCCTGTTAAGGTAGTCCGCTGGTGTTGGTAGTGCCAATATTTCCTGACTGAGAGGGGTTGACCTGCTGAGTGAAAGTTCCATGCCGTTGACTGGCAAATCATCCGGTGCTTGAAGTGCCAATATGTTCTGGCTGGGAGGACTTGGCCAGCTCAGCTTTGCTCCGAGAGACATCTTGGCACGTTGAAGGGCCTCTAGCACCCCTACTACATCTTTGTTTGAGGATTGATGAAGTTGTGTATCAAGCTGGTTATCGGTATGGTTATGAAAGCATGAGGAGCTCCATTCTGAGACTTCGCTTTTAGGGGTATCACTTAGTGGGCTCCCAACTGATGATGTGTTTATGTATCGCTCAGAAGATCGAGCATTCACATGGTAGCTTGAACCACTGTCTGAATTTTCATCTCCTTGACCCTTTCTATGTCCTGCATTTAGTCTGCTATCACAGCTTCCTTGTGGTGGCAGAGCTGATTTCCCAAGATTATTGACACTTCCTTCAGGATAGCTTTTAGTTGTCAGCACATCCTTCCTAACCTGCAGTTCACTGTGGCTTGAAATTACTGCTGCAGCAGTGACTACACAATCATGACCAAACTCATCAAATTTGCACTGTTCAATAGCACTATCTTTGGCTACATTTTGGGGCAATTCTGAAACAGGGCCGTTTGGTAGACATTCAGAGGGGTTGTTGATGCAATGGAGATTATTGTCACTTGATCTTGCCTGTTCACAAACCGCTTCCTTATCTACAACCCGAGCAATTTCCCTTCTCCCACAAGCATTTTCAGCCTGATTTAGCTTATTGTTCGAGTTAACATTATCCTGGAAGTTGGAGAGCAGAAATGAGTGCACAATACGAAAATATTAGCTCATTTTGTTTTTTATTTATCCAGTTAAATGCAAGAACTACATACTAAATAAAAAATGGTTCATATCTGTAAAGGAAAAGTGTGTACCGTAGCTGAATCCCGGTTCTTGCTGAATTTCTCCTCCCACTCCCTCTGAGCATTTTCTTCAGCCTCGAACTGTCCAATTAGCTCAGCCTGCTTCTCGAGTACCCTCTCCATCTCCCCATCCTTCTCATATACCATGGCACGATCATCACGATCCTCCACTCCTCCATTACTAGAAGACCCACGCCAATCCTGGCTCACCTCGCCATCAAAATCAGCCGGCTCATCGGTGCAAACAGTACAATCTGATCTCTCCTGCCCGTCCTCCGTGCTCCCCACTGTATTGTCGTTGCCCTCCTCGCCTCCTGTCTGAGATCTGTCAATCAGAACAACATGTGTGTGAGTGTGTCAGAAAACTTGTGCACAACAACATGCCAGCAATTGGCATGGAATTGGAGCAATGCGCAACGCCTGGACCTCATCAGCTCCTTCCTCTTGATCTTCCGGCACGACTGCCCCGGGTGGTACTTTGGCGACGAATCCGCGGCGCGCGAGTAAAAGTAGCCCCTCCTGTGACCGTGGCCGTGGCCGTGCCTCTGCCTTGGCTGCCTGCCCTTGTGCTGCTGGTGCAGCGGCCGCCGCCTCTCGCATTCGTCGGGGCTCGCGGCGCGGCCTCTCCATGACAAGCCCCCGGCCTGAGCCGCCGCCGCCGGGGCTCCCAGCTCCGACCCCGACAGCGCGTCCTCCGCCGCATTCCCGCCGCCCCCGTCCCTCTCGGCGGCACCGGGTTCGCGGTCGCCCGTGTCGGCCTCGTCCTCTGAGCCCGAATCGTCCGCGGCGTCGGAGAGGCGGCCGAAGCCCTGGGAGTCGAGGATGGCGAGCACCTCCGCAGCCGCCCGCTCCGCCTTGCGCCGCTGCGCCGTCACCGTCCGGAGCTGCTCCTCCAGCTCCACCACCTGCAGAGACGGGCTCGGTGACTAAGCCGGGAATGCGAGGAGGAAGGATGGAAGCCAATGAAATGCGCGCCCGCGCGCACTTACCCGCTTGGCAAGGTGGTCGGCCCGCTCCTTGGCGGCGCGGGAGACGGAGCGCTCGGAGAGGAGGCGCGCGCGGAGGAAGTCGATGGTCATGGCCGTCGTCGCGTCCGCCGCCATCCCCATTGCCGAACCCGTGTGGTGGAGTGTAGCGGTCTGGTCTCCAAAGCCGCGCGCCCGCGCCGCGCGTCCTCAATAGTCAATGCACACCGCGGCATGCCGGCTTCCCTCTCTGCTTTCTTCTCATCTCAGGTCTCGGGAGGCTCGTGATGTCAGTCGCATCCAAAGCGACGCGACGCGGACGCGATGGTGTGCCGCGACCGACCGAAAGCCTACGCTTTGGCTTTTGCCAACCGCCGCCCGCGTGCTGGTGCCGCGTCCCGTGCGCGACGGTTGCCTCTGCCTGCCGTGTGCCGTGCGCCCGTGCCGCGTCCGGTGTGGCTGTGAGGTGCCCTCGCGATCACGTACTCACGTGATGACAGGAATCCGTGATGATTAGTGCTTCAAGTCCTTGGACGTTTGGACCCTTCTACTTTACGCCACTCCCGTGTGAGTGAGGATGACCGACCCGTCCCCGCTATCTGTGTGGGAAAAAAACGGAAATAGTGTGGGTACCGGACGCTTGCGTCGATGGGCCTTAACGCCGTCAAATCGGCTTAATACCGTCACTCGTCCGGACGCCGTCTCATGTTGCTTAATAAAAAAACTCCGCTCTTCACTTTCCTCTCGAATCGTCGCCGCTCCCACACCCATTCTCAAACCCACTCTCGAATCACCGCCGTGCTCCACCGCGGCGCTCTCCATCGCGCTCGGCCGACCACCATCCTTCCTCTCCACCGCGCCTGAGTGTTGCTGTCCGCCTTCCTCCCTCTCCACCGCTCTCATCGTCCGTCACGCGTCTTCCGTTCTGCATCGCGCCCACTCAGTCACTTCCGTCCTTTTCCGGCAACGGCTCGTGCCAGGAGCGGTGACCTATCATTTCCCCCGGCCCTCTCTCTCCATCGGAGTGACCCGCCATAGCCTTCTCCACCGGAGCGACGATCTCCGCGCTATCGGCGAGCTCTACACTGGTGAAGTCCACACGCCGACGATCCTCCATTCTCCCAGGAAGCAAGGAGATGTTGTGATGAAACCACTGTTGCAAACGCATGTTTCAAGTGTCTCAGATGTTTTCTGAGGTATGTTGCATGTGTTACAATGGTTGTACACATATGTTGCAAACGTTTGTTCCCAATGTTGTTTGTTCATGTTTCATTTGTTTTTTTTTAGACGTACGTTGAAAGTGTGTTTATCTAGATGTTGCATATGTTTCACACATATGTTGCAAGTATTTTATCTAAATGTTGCGTATATTTTGCAATGATTTTCAAGTGTTTTTCATGTGTGTTTTGCAAGTGTTCTAGATACATGTTTCGAGTGTTTCATCTGTCTTCAGATGTATGTTGCAAATGTCGCATCTGAATGTTTCAAAAGTAGATCGGGTATTGTACATGTTGCAATGTGACCTACCTGCTATAGCCCTGCTGCTGCTGGGGCGCCACCGTGGTCATCGTGCGGGCGCCTGAGACCAACAGATGCCTCCATAGCACGCATCGGCAAGCAGGGTGAGGTGGGCGTGGCAGGCACGCTCCTGTCTATTGCGGCGCTGCGGGGTTATGGGTGCACTTATGTTACGAGGATGGGACAGGGTGCGCTTCTGTTACGTGGGGACGGTACAGGACGGGGCACGGTTGATGCGCTCATTCGAGCGCAGCGTCCGGACGCCTGGTGTGGCCGGAGTCCGGGCGCTACCGCGCTAGCTCTTCCGAGAAAAAAAAATTCTATACGGTAAGAGCACATAGAACTCTGCTGTGCGGCTCGCGGTTTCTGCACTGCGGAAGAACTTCATCTTGTGAGCCCGCTTACCAGCACGTGGAGCACGGTGGTGGATGTGTAACGTAGAGGACTAGAGGCCATGCGCCCATGCCAATATGCCATAGAGTCGCCGGTGTCGGAACAGGTTGGTACTCCGTTCGCCACACACAGCTGATAGCACCGCTCCAAACATGGCAATGGCAAAGACCCCACAGGTGCAACGTACTGTACTGTACTATCAAACAAGCAATCCACTTCCCATGGTCTGTGCATGTTTGGATCCTCTGCTAACAGGTGCAAACAGGCCTTAATCCAACTAACAATTAAACTTAGTCGATCCAAACAGGCCTTAATCTATGTAGATAACATTCAATTTGTGATTCTTGAAGATGCACACTGAGATATCATGATACCAAGGTACGTACTGGACATATACAATTATTATACATTGTTACCGATATTATTATGGGACCATTCAACTTAAAGATTCCTGAAGCACACTCGTATATCACACTTAAAATAGCATAAGTACGTAGTAGCTATTGACACTGTTATTTTGTAGACACCGGCCAATATTATGGGACCATTCGCGAGAGAAACTGGAAATGGGCAGCGGTGCTTTAATCGAACAAGCTGAAGCCCATATCCTGCAAGCAATTCAGCAAGATTGCCAATCAGTAAGGATGTAGTAGTACTCACAAAAAGTGATTCAATATATGAATAACATAAAAGGGAACAACGGGGCACGAATTAGTATGTTGCTTGTTGAGTGGAAATTTTAGGAGTTAAAAAATATATGTAGCCCTCTGCATATGCGGTTATGCTATGTAGCCAGTGAATGGTAGCGAGGCAGCTGATCACAATTGCTGTGCCAAACTAGAAAGGAACTCCTTCAGCGCCAAGAAGCAGACAAACCAAGTAGATTGCCCATTGGTGGACGATTGACGTAGAACTAAATGATTTAACTTTTTTTGGTGAGAGACTTTTTTTTTTGAAAACATTTTGGTCAGAGACTTACTTCATCAGACTCTTCCTTCTCTTCAACCTTCTCCTCCTTCTTTGCCTCTTCAGCCGGTGCTGCACCACCACCAGCTGCATCAGCCGGAGCTCCAATGGCAATTGCACCACCACCTGAAGTCACGGAGGATAACCTTTCCCTACCGGCTGCAATCACTTCTGTTATGTCCCTGTCTTTGAGTTCTGTGAGCAGGAACTCCAGTTTCTCTTCATCAGCTTCAGCACCAACTGTAAGGAAAACAGATATCGTTGTTAAGGCAAACAAGGTCCAGCATAGTGTACAACTATAATTTTCCCACATAATTATCCCAACATCAAGTGCTTTCCTCTGTCTATTTATTGCATTGCAAACAGAACGAACAACTTATTGTGCAGTCACCTAGACGACTTCCACAATGATGGTATCATCTATTTTAATACGTCTTGAAATCAGACTCCATACCGTGGCTAGACATGCGCTATTCTAACTTGTATGTGATATGGCTGGGGATTTGACCTTATTAATCTGCCTAACAAGAGTAACAATGGCAGGAAATGGATCCTTTTCGTCCTCCCTAGGAGGCTCTGAACAGATGACTCAATTCCTGCTTGTTCCCAAAGGTTTAACCGGACATTAGATAAGGCCGGCAAAGCACACTAATAAACTCCCTAACTTGACTAACAGAAGCTAACTTTAGTAACAAACCCCAAGACTCAATAGACTTAAAACTAAACTAATCAACCTCAGCCACCTTCTTGCATGCAAGATAACTAATCAACCTCAGCCACTAGTGGACACCTTCTTGCATGCAAGATAACTAATCAACCTCAATCACTAGTGAACGCAAACTTCTTCTCTTTTTGCATGCAAGATAACTAATCAACCTCAGCCACTAGATAACAGATAGAAGAAAGTTATGACCAAATTTAAATCTGAAGAAGCACCTGATTCCAGAATGTTTTTAACATCATCAGCAGTCGGGGAAGTGTTTCCACCCAGAACAGCAAGCAGGTAGGCAGCTATTACCTTCATCCTGAAAACTGCAGAAATGGCTAGAACATCTTTATCTTTAAAGACCAATAAATGCACTCGGATCAGGATATACAAAACGCGGTGCAGCTTAAATATCATGGGACAAAAAAGATCAATAAGGCATCCTACCTCTTAGCAATTGAGGATAATGAAACAAGGAAACACATCATGGGATTACTAGATTACAATAACACAAGTCCAAAGTAGGCACATAACAATATATTTTGAGTCTGACTATTGCACAACCATGTGTTTTATATAATTCCAACACATGAATTTTTTTACACCCTAAGATTAAGATCCAACAGCTTCCATCATTCTTCTACCTCTAGCTTTCTTCTACCTTAAGACAATCACAAGATCACAGATCCACATATCACAAATCACAAATCACATATACAGAAAACAATTTTTTTTCTATGGAAGGACAAAATACAGAGAGCTGCACTGCTGCGTCACACGTCATGTCATGTGTTTTTTGGTGAATCTTTACCTCACGTCGTGTGCTGATGCCTTCTTTGCGTCATGTCTTTGTGCGTCACGTCTTTGGTGCGTCGCGTCGTGTCTTTGGTGCCTAATCGTCGCGTCACACACGTGTCTGCTTTGCGTCATGTGTTTTTTTCTTTGAGTCATTCATGAGATATGACAACGGAGATAAACAGAGGCTACAATCCGGTGGACTAAAATTCATGTGTTTTTTTATGATAAAACACACATGTATTGTATATCATTTCTATATATTTTTTTAATCGGACATGCAGGAGAACTGAGTGTCAATATATTAAGATAGAACGTATAATAATCTATTTGGATCCATATCTTTAGTAATTGTCAAATGTGAGTCAAACTCCAAACATTCCTAGAAACAGCTCCACGGAACCCAAAGAGTAGCTTGGATACAGGGCTTTGGACCCGAATACTAAGGGTTTAGTCTCGAACTGGATCCCAAGCCACCTCAAGCTTGCTTTTAGTAGTTCATTTTTGAAAATTTGGTTTGAAAGGCCTACTCTTTTCCTAATAAAAACTCTTCCATAGACAGAGATAAAGATAAAAGGTACATCACTTTTTGATCTTAGATTCGTGCCCTGTAAGGCGCAGGTTTCTTTATCTGGGAAAAGTCACCTCAAAAGAAAATTCATCCTAAGATCTAGTGTTGCATCGCTTTGAGCCGAACAGCCCTGTAAGGCCATTTTCTTTATCTGGGGTACTAAATTTGCAAGATCGTGTTTCGCAAAACAGGCCATTAATAGGTACTGTCTCCTTCCAAAACACGCCAAAAAAAAAAACTAAATCGAATTGAAAAGGCTAGCCGTGATCTTAGAAATGAAGAACCTGGAGGCACGGAGTTATACCACCTCAGGAAGAGGCAACATGGCAAAGATGGACCCGTGAGAACATGAGATAATCAAACAAATCATATAGGGTCCAAATCCACCAACACGAATTTCGTTGGCAACCTGAAGCAGCTTCCATTCTACCACGGAATCGTGAATGATTGCAGAACAGAAGACCTCTGTTTTGCGCTTCCGGTGCAAGTAAAGCACAATCGTTTGGCATCTAGTCTAGTATAAGGAAGAAGAAAGATTGGGATCCGTGCACGCGTACCTCGAGAGCTGAACCGAAGAGAAGGAAGCGGATGACTGCGGCGGCGGACGGGAGCAGTTTCCAGAACATAATATCAATAATGGAGTTCATTATATATACTCCGTATTCGGTTGAAACGCCCAGGATTCAGTCCTCCCGGTCCCGGAGCAACCGAATCTGGCCCGCTCGAATCGGACAAGTCACTGGACGGAGGAGCCCACACACACAAGCCAAAAAAAAAAAGCCCACGACCACGAGGCTAATCGCACATGAGGACTTGGGCCTAGCAAAGGAGGGGGCAACTGTTCGACTCATATTTGGGCCTCAGAGCATGCACGGGCTGAGAGCCTGTGATCAATGGGCCGTATGAGTCCTCTTGTATTTCTTTTCCTCTATCTATATATAGAGAGAATCCCTCAAAAAATCTATATCTATATATAGAGAAAAAAAAAAGAAAAGGAGTTCTCTCATCTAAAGAAAGACCCTCCTTTAATGTCTTGCTGCGTTCCATATTCATGATGACCTTGGCCGAACAAAACAAACAGTGAGCACCAACGCACACTCCCACCTGGCCACCTTCCTATATATTACTGTATATTAATTATACAGTACCAGAAGAGAAAAGAAAAGGCAATCGATTACATTCCACTAGCCGGTACGTAAAAGTAGATTGGTTAGCAATACGAACTTAGTCAGATGAGATGGAAGAAAAGTCTTTTTTCTTTTGCGACTCAGACTTCATTCATTTATCACTGAATATCAGGGTTACAGTCTTCAGCCAGCAAGCGATCGATGCAAGTTGGGGCTATTTGCCATTCTCCCAACCTGTCGTCACTCGTGACCTGCTTAGCTAACAAGTGCGCCACACGATTACATGATCGAGGAGCATACATCAAAGAAACATCAGCAAAACTTGTGCTAAGCTCTAGCATCTCGCTAAGAATCGGCGCTATATGCGATCGCATGAAGGTCCTCTTCTCCCACAGCTTGACTAGCATCTCACGGTCGGTTTCCACTAGCAATTTTGAGACTCCCTTCAATCTTGCCAGCTGAATTCCATCCCTGCACGCAAGGGCTTCCATCATCAGGGCATCCAAGCCACAGGGGTACCAATGGGCCCGACCACCCTCAAATCCCCCCGCCGAGTTTCGTAACACTGCTCCTGATGCTCCCTGAGCATCGCCTGTTCGTTTGGGCTTGTTTGGCTTATAAGCCATGGTTGAAAGTACTGTTGGCTGGTTTGGTGTGAGAGAAAAATATTGTTCGTCGGCTGATAAGCCATGGCTTATAAGCCAAATACGACCAAATGAACAGGCTGCATCTTGGAGACTGAAAGCAGCATCTACATTGCATTTTATCCAACCTTCAGGTGGTGGATGCCATCTACGTTACACCGATACTTCCCTGAACTGCTGTACCGGTATCGTGATACGTATCGGATACGCCACCGATACGGTATCGGTGACGTATCGGGAAAATGCACCAATAAAAATAAATAAATTAAATCCCGATACTTAGTTGACTGATGCTTGTTCGATTCTTCGCAGCCCATAACCCCTCAAATTGAAGTCCATCATCTCAGCAGCCCATTTTGGTGGCCCATTTAGACAGCCCTCAAACTCTGCTAGTCACACATTCACAGCATCGCCACCAACGCATCGAGCCAGGAACGACGGGCTGCCCGCTCCTGCCGCCGCCGCCACCGCCGACGCCCGCTCTTGCCGCCGCCGCCGACGCCTGCCCCAGTTGCAGCCGCCGATGCCCGCAGGCCACAGGTTGCCGCCTCATGTCAGCGATTCATACAACTTCTAGATCTCCTCCGGTCAGTTCTTAATCTGCATTCCAACTTTGAAACTCTAGATTTCTTTTTATTGTTGTTGTTTAGGGATGGCAAGTGGTAGTGGAAGTTCACCGTTGCATGTCTCTAAACCTAGTAGTGTCAATGTAGCAAGTGATGGCGATAGTGTTCCTGAAGTGAATGAGATCTGTGATCCTAAATATCCTCTCTAGAGGCATGTTAATAAGATCAAGAACAATGGCCCTGATGGAGGAAATGCAGTATTAAAGTGCAAATTTTGCGGCAAACAAATATCTGGTAGCTATACTAGAATCAGAGCACATTTGTTGAAGATACCAAACCAAGGTGTGCACATTTGCAAACATGTGACAGTACCAATTCTACAGCAACTTCGCAAGGAAGTGGCTGATGCTGAGGCAGCGATCTCCAACAGCAAACCGAAGAGTGTTCCCCTGCCAATACAGATAGGGAGTACAGGATTACCCCCTTCTGGAGGTACAAATGCCCAGTCAAAGCAAAGAAAGTGACAATCAGGGATTGACGAAAGCTTTTTCCATGAACGTCGTCAAATTGCTGATGCTCTCGTTGGAAAAATGTTCTATACAGGAGGTATGGAACTTGATTCATTGAAAGAATCTTAGTATCAATTTGATTCAAAACATTTTTCTAATTGCTATGTTTTTTCCTTGTCTTTGTAATCTGCAGGTGTTCCATTCAATTTAGCAAGAAACCCAAATTTTCGAGCTTTAATAATGTATCTTGCAAACACTGATTTGGGTGGATATGTACCTCCAGGGTACAATAAGTTGAGGACTACTGTTCTCCAGCAGGAGAGAGTCAATGTTGAGAGGTTGTTGGAACCATTCAAGACTACATGGCCTACAAAAGGGATTACTATTGCAGCTGATGGGTGGACGTGTCCTCAGCGGCGCCCACTCATCAACTTTTATAGCTATATCTGAAGATGGCCCTATGTTTTTGGGAGCTGTTAACACCGAAGGAGAGATTAAGAGAAAGGAATACATTGCTGAGAAGTTGATCCCTGTGACTGTGAGTGTTGGACCAAAGAATGTGGTCCAAGTGATTACAGATAATGCAGCAAACTGCAAGGGTGCCGGTCTGATAATTGAACAGAAGTATGACCACATCTTTTGGACTCCATGTGTTGTCCACACTCTGAATTTGGCACTGAAGAATATTTGTGATGCAAAGGACAATGATGCTGAAAATGCTGGGCTCATGTGGATTAAGGATACTATGGAGGCTGCGTTTATGTTCAAGAACTACATCATGAACCACGGTATGCGCCTATCAATGTTTAATGAGTTTAGTAAACTCAAATTTCTTGCTATTGCTGATACAAGATTTGCATCACATATTATTATGTTGAAGAGGTTCCTTGTTCTCAAAGAGTCTCTTGTGTTAATGGTTGTTGGTGACAAGTGGTCAACATATAGGGAAGATGATGTAGACAAAGCAAGATCTGTAAAAGATAAGTTGCTTGATGATTTTTGGTGGGACAATGTTAAATACATTGTTGATTTCACTGAGCCTATTTATTCAATGCTAAGGGCAGCAGACAATAAGCCATGTCTCCATCTGATTTATGAGATGTGGG